AATATATGTTGACTTTGTTTCATAATATTAACGAAATTTATGTAAAATTTGTTTATATTTAACCTTTTCGTGTTTGAGTTGCTTACAAAATATAAAAAAACGACAATCGATTAATATCTATGGTGATCTCTATTCAGTATATTCAAAATGGCAGACAAGAGTTCTTTTTGGTTTTGTGACTTCCTAACTACCAGGTCTCAAATTTGAAGCAATATCTGAGACTGTTTAGTGAATAGTAACTAGTCACAAATTGAGATTTTACCGCAAAATGTCTCAAATAGAGACTTGTTCCAGAATCCCGCTATGAAGCTAGAGACTGCTTAGTGAATAGTAACTAGTCACATATTGAGATTTTAGCTCCAAATATCTCAAATAGAGACTAGAGACTGGTTACATAATCCCGCTATTAATCTCATTTTACCATGCATATATGTATGTATGTAAAAGTTTCTGGTTTATGTACATATAATTGTACAATTCTATAACGCTACTTTAATACGGTTAACAAACCTTTCGGATTTAACGAAAATAATCCGGCCTATTAATACTCTTCTATTGAAAAAGAAAAACAGTAAGCCGTGTAAACATAAGCAAAAGAAAATTTAAAAACACAACTAGCAATATCAGCAAACAAAACTAAACGCAAACATCTAATAATAATACACATAATAAATGTAAACAAATTGTATTTTCCCACGGTATTACTGCTTGGTCAGCAGAATACTTTAATTAATAAAAAATTAATACATCATTTGTTTTGATAAGTAATCCTAATTCAATATTCCATTATTTGTTCTGATAATGAGAAAAATTGGAAATTGCTCTGGCATTTCATCACTTAATGTAATGCCAAAGCATTTTAGTAATAAGCCGTTGCACATAGAATTCTATGAATATAAATATATGTGATTTTAGTCCAGTCATTATAATAAGTTCACCTCGGAATTCGAGATACCCAGCTGTAAGTCTGTAAATATTGTATATTGACACCCTAAAAGTTGCTTCAAAACCTACATATGGTAGGGTGTATCCATAACCCATCTTTTGCGAAAAAAAAACTTTTATGTGCTTAAAAAAAGTATTCAGTTCACACTGAAAAACCTTTATTTCATTTTAATGAATTATAATGGACAACAACAAAAATCAAAGTACACCTGGAGCTACACGCTCAAAACAGGTTGCTGGACTTATTTCAAAAAGTGACAGTTTAATAAGATACTGCACTAAATTTGCCTCTTCGCCGATATACGAAAACTCGGAATCGTTATTAGAAATAGAAAGTCAAAATCTTAAAAATTTTTGGACTCGCCTCCAAGCGGCTCATGACGTCATAGTAGATTCTGACTATTCAGATCTACCTTTTAAATCATCGGCTTGCGTTATTTATGAAAACTGCTTAGACCAATATGAAGATACAAAAGTTATGATCTCCGATCAATTAAAGCTAATAAAATAAATTGCACCTACTTCACATCCGTGAGTAGAGCTGTCACAAATAGATAATTAAAAGGCAATTTGAGGCATCCACATTGAGGTGCCCGCATGTGATACAGAAACAGTTTATGGAGGTTATGAAGAATGGAAGTCCTTCCGGGACATATTTACATCTGCTTACATCAACCAGCCACAACTATTAAAAGCATAAAAGTTGTATCACCGCATTAAAACAGTTCGCTCTTAATGACGATAATTTCAATTTGGCTTGCGAAGCTTTAAAAGCAAGATACGAAAATGAAAGAATACTGGTCGATAAACAAGTAACGACACTAACGAACTTGCCAAAAATTAAGAAAGAAACAAGTGTAGAATTTATTAAACTAGAATTCAGTGTTTCAAATCGTTTGTCGGTTCTTTCGACACTAAATATCCCCACAGACAGCTGGGACTCTATTCTGGAAAATACATATACCGCCGCATTTGAAGAAAAATCGTTACTATCGTGGGAGCAATCGCTCTCATCACGAAAGAAGTGCCCAACGTGGCAACAAATGAAAGATTTTCTCTGCACTCAATATGAAATTGCTGGGAGGATAGAAGAAAAAATGATCAAACCTAAGAACATTAAACACGAACCCGCAATCGTTCACATCTGAACGAAGAAAACATACATCTTGCATACTAGGTAAAAGAGGGCATAAATTTACATCTCGCGAGAGGTTTAAAAACTTAAAAGTTAACGAACGAAATAACTTTGTCTGGTCAAAAAGACTTTGCACAAAATGTTTGTCACATACGCATACATAAAAATTGCAAAAGAAAAATTAATTGCTTACATTGTCACAAACGAAACCATTCAATTCTTCATTACAGCACAAAACCCATTTCACCCCAAAGAAGCGCTTATACAAAAAGAACCACGGGTTTAATTGCAAAAGCTAATCCCGAAACCCAAAATTCGAAAAATTGCCAAGAGACACCATGTTGCTCAAAGGCATAAAAAGCTCAAACGCTGCCCAGTGAAGCACAAAGTAGACTAGTGACAACTAGTTACCACCATACCAACTCAAGTTGAGAAAAAATCAAATCAATAGCTTTATTCATTATTAAGGAAATTTCAAGAGATATGAATACTTTCCCGAATATTAAATAAAACTCTAGAAGATCAGTAATGTAAGGGGTACTCGAAAGCCACAACTACTTGATCAAATAATAGCCGGTACCTCGTACGACTACCACTAATTTTCCAATACCCCACTTATTGGTAGAAAAGACAAAGGCAGAATTCAGTCTAATAATATTAAAAACTCAAATATATGCTACTTTCCGGCCCCGCATGATGGCTTTCGATAATAATGACAAAAACACAATCTTGAACAAATCTCTAAGCGGTGGCCGGTGACTAAATAAAATATTAAATATTATATATGTATGTTAAAAATAGTCGAAAAATCGACACCTATCATAGACTAGTGCCTAATAATTTTCAAATAATAGAAAATATTTTTATTTATATTCAAAATTAAGGTTAAGGGTACACCATATGCCTAATGCGATGATGTGACGCACCTAAACTTACCAAAAGTAAAGGTAGCTCTTATCGCACATACATAAGCGCTCCACATAAGGGTAGTTGGTGCGAGTCTGTTGTATAACTTGAACATCCCACTTCAAAAATTATAATTCTAAATGAAGCCATTCGTAATAACCGGCCAATCTATCGCAAGATCCCTCTAAACCTCACGGATAAAGAGCACGCACTGTGACCAGTCAGACGTGGCGTCGCTATATTTCCTAATAATAAAGAAGTGCAAACAATTGCCGATAAACCGATGTAAAGAAAATATATATAAAAGAATCAACCACAAATAGTTTTTACAGTAATATGTTTAGAAACAAAACTGTTTTTAGCATTTGCAGCCCAACTTATTCCAGTGTGAGAGCGTCTCAAAATAAGCGTTTGTTTATGTTATAATTTCCGTTGTGGCCAGATCGAACAAATAACAATTTTTGGGCATTTAAATTAAAATGGCCAGTTGCACTTTCCACACCACCCGGTTCCCCTTTAGGCCTATATCGCCCATTAATAAATTTATTTGCATAAATCAACAAAACGATAACAATTCATTAGTGTATAACGAAAAAAAAAAACAAAACGATAAAATTATACGTATAACGATTAAAACAAAACGATAACAATTCATATAAAAAATATATAAAAACATCACAGAAATATAATTATTTACATATATACAAATGCCTACATTTACATCCCAAATTCTAACTTTCCTTAAAAAAATTGCTTTCTTATTTTAGAGCCTCTTTATCCTAACTGTTTACAAAATTTTCACTTTTTTAGTTTCTATCGTAAGTATAAGTTCGCTTATTGTAACCACTAAAAAATAAAAAAATTTAAACGTATAGGTGTGAAACACACAAAATATTATTTTTAAAATTAGGGACAGAAAGGTCTTTATTTAAAAATTTAGTTAAAAAATATATTCTACTTCTAATAAAAAGGGCTATAACTATTTTTGGGTCACAATTATCACAACACAAAAAGGGCCTAACATCTTTCATTTTATTAAAAAGAATATCTAATAATCCTATTTTCTAAATCTAAATCTTGTTTCCAAAATTTTTGCAAATGCAATAAAATCCTCAGGCGGCTTGACTAAGTTGCATTTGTCTATTTGATTTTGATGCATGAAGATGAATTCGTCCGAAGGAATTTCGTCTCCTAAATATGGTAAAGGCAGGGAACATGTGTGCAGTTTGAAAATTTTTAAATAAAAATAGCCGCAAAAGTAGCTAAGGGAGCGTTCAAGTATTACGTAACGCAATTTTGGGGGGTCTCGTAAAACGTTACGATGCGTTACACGGCCGGGAGGGGGTCTTTCTTACAACACGTTACGTAACATTGTTTCTTTTGCTAAATAATAAAATAGCGAATTAAAACTCACAAGATGGCAACCCTTTTCGTTTACGTTTTACGGGGAATCACTAGATTGTATTGTACGTCATTTAATGTGGTTATTGTTGTCAGTATTCGTTAGTGTTTATGCAGAAGCTCATTGCTGTATTCGGTGTTATTAAAGTGAATTTTAGTGTTCGAATACTGTAATGTCTTCAAAAGAGGGAGTTTTGTATCATCAGCTGTTCTTGGCGTATAAAGGCTCTCATGCTAACTTGCCAGTGCAACTGTGTCAAAAAAATGCCAACGATATTTGGAAAATGGCTAAAGAAAAACTGAAAAATAAAGAAAATTTTATAGAACATATAAATGATGTTATACGACAGTTGAAGGTGAAGGCCACGAGGAAGAAAGCAACAATGCTTAGTTATTTTACACAGCTAAGTTTACTTATAAAACGTAATTATGACAAGTATTATAATATGTAATACAAATCTTGATTTTTCAAAAACTGGTCATAAGTTCATAAGTATTATTTATTTCTAGCTACCTATGGAAACTTCAAGCACGCCAGCACCACGCCCAGGCACGCTTAGGCCCAATGTTCCCTGGACTTCACTTGCTCTTCAACAAAAACAGGTGCATCTGCTTGTATATTATGTTTCTTTTTATCGCATGTGTCAATATTACCTATTTCTAATGTTAACGTCTTGATTTCTATAGGATTCGGATGTTGTAGCTTCATCTCATATGGAATCAATTGTCGCCGTCACTGGACATAAAAGCACTGCCGTTAAAGGACAGATGAGCGATACCCACGGTGAACAAAGTCAGAATACTGATGAGGAAATTGTGCAGACACCGTCTACGGAACCACATACGACTTTGATTGATTCGGGCTTCACTAAAAATGTTACAAGCAAACCGGCTCAAGATACTCTTATGAAAAAAATTAGTCTACTGCAACAGAGAATAAATGTTCTTACTGAAGCAAGGGACACTGGAATAGCTAAAGATGATGTTCACGACGAAATAAAAAAKCTACGCAAAGAGTTGAAAGAAGAAGAAAAATGTTTAAAGAAAAAAAGAGACTCTGCTAAACGTGCAAAAAAGTTTCGAGCCAAAGAAAAACTGGAGAAAACTGAACGTCASAGAAACAATCCTCCTGCAGCACAACCTCGAACTAGCTCTGGACAGCCCCCTTTAGTTGACTCGCAACCTGCTCTCCTAGAGACCATAATTAATATTGCCATTCATGGCAGCGCTGCTGATGAACGCCGCCGAACAGAGATGATTAGGAGTTGTCTCACTCTGTCCGACCTGCATAARGGGCTGTTKTTAATGGGATTMAAAATTTCTCGAAGCGGCACATATCTTCATTTACTCCCACGCGTTTCTAACACTCAAGAGGGAAGAAGGCACGTACGTACCGTACCCGTAAAGTTAGCAAGACCACAGACCGAGATGCACAAAAAGCACGAGGATGGGGAATTTTGCACTGCTACTATCAGGTCATTGGAATCTCTCGCGTCGCTTCTGGGACCGCAGCAAGTATTCGTTCTCTCACAAGATGATAAGGCACGTGTACCGGCAGTGAAAAGTCAGAGCCCTCTTTTAATGCATATGGAATACAGAATACTTTTACCTGATCATGACTGGGTCGTGGCTGAGAGGCACAAACTTATTCTTTCTATATATGCCGGCGTCAACGTGGAAAAAAACAATTTCGGTAAGGAAGAAGCTGTTGGGTACAGCGGGCCGACATACATATCCATAAGAAGCGGGAAACATGCATCCTCCACAGCGAACACCCATGCTTATGATTTCGAATCACTTTTATTAAAACCTTCATTCAAACCCTTAATGATGACAGAATCGAACACCGTGAAGCCAGTGATCATCATCCTTGTAGATGGTGGGCCGGACGAAAGCATTTTAAAAAATACAACTTGGACGCCCTGTTTATAGCGACTAATGCTCCTGGGCGGAGCGCATATAACCGAGTTGAGCGTCGCATGGCTCCCCTCAGCAAACGACTGGCAGGGGTCATTCTGCCTCATGAACATTTTGGTTCTCATCTCGACAACAAAGGAATTACTACGGATGTTGATTTGGAAAAACGCAATTTTCAGCACGCTGGAGAAACACTTGCAGAAGTGTGGAGAGAAATGAAAATTGACAACTACGACGTTTCGGCGGAGTATAGACAGCCCGAAGATAGCATGCAGGATCCAGCAGAACCAAATCTGGTGTGGTATAGCGTTCACGTCCGTGAATCGCAATATTTCTTACACGTTATAAAATGCGCGGATGAATCCTGCTGTTCGCCACCGAGAAGTGCATTGAAATCTACATTACAGAAAAACGTTACGGTCCATTACGAGGGAGGAGGGGGGTGTTAAAAATCTTCAAACATTGCGTTACGTAATACTTGAACGCTCCCTAAACGCATTTTCTTTAAAAATATTAATTTCTAAACTACTATCTAATGCGATTGATCTAACAAGGGAGTGTTCAGGCCGTGGTAAACCTTGAAAATCCTGCCAAGAAAGGTCATTCAA